GCTCCGCCCGGCCTGCCGGTACTCCTCGGGCTTGGCCTTCAGCAGCACCACCAGACTCTGCAGTGTCCTGGAGGGCTGAAGGCCCAGGGCATCCATCACGTTTATGAGATAATCTAGAAGGTGAAGGATAAACATGTAACAGACACAAAGATGTACAGACACGAGCAGGTAACAGGCACTGTGCGAATGGCAGTTCCTCTCTGTCCTCCACAGCAGCTGCAGTCCTCGGGCTTGGCCTTCAGCAGCACCACCAGACTCTGCAGTGTCCTGGAGGGCTGAAGGCCCAGGGCATCCATCACGTTTATGAGATAATCTAGAAGGTGAAGGATAAACATGTAACAGACACAAAGATGTACAGACACGAGCAGGTAACAGGCACTGTGCGAATGGCAGTTCCTCTCTGTCCTCCACAGCAGCTGCAGTCCTGCCACTGCCAGCAGAACAGCCACAGGAACAGCAGTGTCTGGGGTCTGATGGTGCTGAGTGGTGATCATTTTTGGTTCCCTGTACTCTAGTTCAGAAAACTGTCTGTTGAGAGGACTGTGACACATTCTGCCCTTTCAGCATCTGCACAGGACACCCTCGGGGTGGTCAGTCCCCACGGTCACAGGCACAGGACCACAACCACACTTTCAAAGGCAAAGAGCTTGCAGCCAAGCTGGGAATCTCTGCAGAGGTGAAGAGTTGTCAGGCAGGAGGGGTTCCAGCTCGCTGACCCGCAGCCAGCTGGGGAATTAAGGATGGTGGGGAGAATGTCAAGCAACCAGCCTCTAACCCACTGGTTTGTTTTTAAGCAATGCCAAACAAAAAAAACAAAAAGATTCAGGCTGAGCTTGCTGACATTCAAGACACTTTCAAAAGAGCTGAGGAGATACTATCTATCTGCATCCTTCTTTTTGAGCTTGGCCATGGGGAAGTCAGCATCCATGATTTACAGCAAAGAAAGGACTAAGTGGTGTTTACAAAAGCTGTAGTGGTCATGATGTGACACTTTCATCAGCTTCAGGTACAAAAACCCTTCTCCATATCCTGCAGAAATGCCTTCCCTAACACCTCCCATCCATCCTCCCCCAGTCACTGCATGGCGTGGCAGAAGCACAGATCGTGTGCCAACGATCTCCCACTCTGCTGATGAAAATTTCTCCATATTGAAAGTAATTTAGTCACCCAGTGCCTTCAGAGCAGCAGGGCAGCAAGTCAACCACAGCAGGGGAGCTGATCCCACAGGTTCTGTCAAAGATGATGCTGGTCAAGTGCTCCACAGCAACTTTCAGAAGGCCTTTAGCTGATCTTCCCTACTTCAGGTATCAAGTCAACAGAAAAAAAATCAACCAGCTGCCCCTTCATAATCCACTGGAGCCCCTCCCACCATTCTTGGAACGTGCTGCCTCCCCCCACATGGCACATACTGGCAGTACAACGGCC